AGCCCCCTCCTCAAAGCCATGCTGCCTACCCCTGGTGCTGTGGGCTCCCCTCCTGGGCTGCAGGTGCCCCTCTGCCTGCAGCAGCTCCCTCTGAGAGGACAGGCAGGCACCCCTGCTGCTCTTCCCCGGGTTGCTCCAGGCAAGAGGGGACTTGCTACCATCCTGGAGCATAAAAGGGTGCAAGAGGGCTGCCCCGCACTCCTGGCACGCTGCAGGGCAGCCCCATACGCAGCATCTAGGGCCTGGACCCACCTCCCCATGCACCTGCGCCAGCGTCGCCAATCCAACCGTTCACAGCGAGGACCGGAGCTGGGGGAAGGTGGTCGCAGCTCTGAGTGGGAGGGAGCCGGGAATACATACACACACACCGCCGGAGGGGTAAGCGAAGGAGTGTTGCACACGCGTAGACTAGGACGGCAGCAGGAGAGGGGCCGGTGTCATTCCAGCGGCTCGGGCTCCCGGGGTGCTGTTAGCACATGCGCTTGTACGTGTAGATATAGGCCTTGCAGTTGGGACACGTGTGTGTCACATCCTTGAAGTCATCGAACAGGCAGGGGATCAGGCAGCAGCAGAGATCACACCTGGAGCACAGGAAGAGGCAGAGTGCTGTGAGCTCCGGCACACTTGGGGTTTGCCCTGGGGCATGGGCAAGAGAGGCAAGTACTCACGCTGCGAGCCAGCCCTGACCCCCTGCTGCTGCGAAGGGCAGCACAAAGCACCCTGCCCCTTGGGCAAGCGCTTCGTTAGCGAGCAGTCGCGCACCTCGCAGCAGGAAGGGAGAGCCTGGTGAGGCGCACACATGTGCTGAGGCCTGACCAACCTCCACTGCTGGGGCAGGGATGAGTGCCCCATCCCCTCCCGCAGCCCTGTTGCTACCAGCCTGTGGCTCGGCAGAGCCACAGGTTCTGGGCTCAGGGATGGAGAGCTCCTGCGCTGATGCCAGGGTCTACAACAGGCCTTTGGCGGTGGCACCTTCCCCTCCCCTGGCAGGAGCCCAGGTCTCCAGGCACTGTCACACCAGGGACCCAGCTGCTGCCCCTGTAACGCCCAGCAGCTCGGGCAAGGCTGCCGGCATTGGGGCCAGCAGGGCAGAGTGCCCACCATCACCACGGGGCTGCTGGCAGCTCTGCTCGCAGCACCTACCCCACGAAGCAGCAGAAGAAGCCAAGAAGGAAGCTCATGAGTCCAATCTCATACGTGATCTTGGTGGTGATGGCTTGCTGGCAGTGGGGACACACTGTCTGCACAGGAGCGCCCTGGAAGATCTCGCCTTGCAGCACCGTCACTGTGGTGGCAGCCCCTGATGGGACGAGGACTGTCGCCGTGTGGCCACCGGGTGAGGGGTAGTGGCCCGGGGCAGGGTAGTAGCCCATGGGTGGGTGAGGGCCCAGGGGTGGGTAATAACCTGCTGGGAATGAGAAACATGCACAGGTGAAATCTCTTCGTACGCAGGAGGAGAGGCCAGATCCTTACGGCGGG